TTTGTAAAGTCCGTTTACCATCTACCCCCGGGACATATTACATACACCCTCGATTCAACTGACCTGCACAGTACCCTGAGCCCTTGAAGACACCATCTTCTTACGTGGCAGGATGATACTGATTTTACACACACTTGCCGTTTCACTCTCCCAGCCGCTCTACCCCAAAGTCTAGAACAGGCATGACCAAATTTAACCGTGGTGTAACTCTACTAACTTCAGTCATCTTTTATTTGGGCTCCATTTGTCCTGTTAAGTAGTAGATCTAATTTAATTTAATTAGTTATTCTTCGAATTAAAATTCCTATTTAAGTTCATGTCGGGGAAAAGACAGCAATAGCAGTGCCTGTTGTCTTTGGAATTCCACCAGTAGCGTCTAACCAACGCTACCATTTCATTATCAGTTGACAAACAGACAATGCAGTGACAAGTGAATTTTCAAGCCCCACTACTTGTTATGCTATTGTGGAAAACAAACTTGGGAGGTGGAGCCATATATTGTTCAGGAAGCAAGTAAAAAAATATGAAACACAAATGACCGGGTGGTGCTGTTTTAACTAGAACCTCCTTTACAGGGCATGGACTGCTGCAGTGGGGGCTGGCAAAAAAAAAAATCTTTAAAATTGTTTGCTAATCTTGTTCTTGAAAACAAACAGTCTATAAACTAAGGGCTAGTCTTCACTGCGAACTTACACTGGCATAGCTACTGCTCTCAGGGATGTGAAGAATCCATATCCCAAAAGACACAGCTATACTGATGTAACTGCTGGTATAAACTGTGCTGACCTACCTCTCAAGGAGGTTGATTTCTTACATTGACAGGAGAGCCCCTCCTGCTGTAGCATTTCAAGTGTAGACGAGCCCAAATGGGTACATTTTCAAAACACTAGATACAGATTTAACTGTGTGATTCCAATTATAAACTGTGGAATTTGTGCAGCTGAAACTCCACATAATACACTGAAAAACCATCAATAGGCCTAGTGGTTATTTCTAGTCAGGGCTTCAGCTACAGTGGAAAAAAGACAACGCATAGTCAACCTGCGGCTCTTCACACAACACAGCCAACCTGTGGAACTCTGTTGTGAAGGCCAAGACTACAACAGGGTTCAAAAAAGAACTAGATAAATTCATGGAGGATAGGTCCATCAATGGCTATTAGCCAGGATCGGCAGGGATAGTGTCCCTAGTCTCTATTTGCCAGAGGCTGGGAGAGAACGACAGGGGATGGATCACTTGATGATTTCCTGTTCTGTTCATTCCCTCTGAAGCACCTGGCATTGGCCACTGTCAGAAGACAGGATACTGGAGTAGATGGACCTTTGGTCTGATTCAGTATGGCCATTCTTATTTTGCGAGGCTTACATTAGATTATTTGCATACTGGCAAGGGACATATGCTGCCCTTGATCCAAGCATGCAACTCTTATTGATGCCAACAAGAGTTGTTCACACCACCTGAAGGCAGTATATGGAATATAATAATACCTGGCTCTTATATAGATAGCACTTTTCATCAGTAAGCCTCAAAGCATTTTCTAAAGGAAATAAGTATCATCAGGGCCCTTGAGAACAATTATGGCAATTATTGCTCCACGCACATAAGCATGATTTTATACACTATTCTCAGATCAGGCTAGGGTGAAAGGCATTTTGGATTAGAGAGTTTTGTTAAAAAACAACAACATGATTTTACAATGAATCTTTCCTTGAAGAATCTATCGACTTAATATATAGAACAAGGGGAGATGGAAAGTAGGTTAAGACAAAACTGCTCTGGGATGATTTACAGTAGATAGTTTTATACTGCTTAGGACTCTAAACAGGCTCAGCAATGCTGAGACCTCCAATGTCATTATGGGGCAGGTTATGATTTCCTATTTCATTCAATATAATTACAAACCCCTGGAGCAGTTCATCTAACTGATTAGCTGGTATGGATAGTAAATCATTCCCATATACTGAACAGAATGTGCATACAGGAGAGAGGTTTTTACAAGTTACCACCAAACAAATGGGCTTTTACTAACACCACCAATGAACAAAACCACCAGCACTTTTTTTCCCTCTCTACACAATGACCTTCTTTGATTTTAACATCACTGCTGTTCCTTTGCCACAAATGGATCATTAAACATGGACAAAGCAAACTAAAAAATGTAAAGACATTTTAAAGTTTTAGCTCCATGTGATTTCCGGAAACTCAAGCACCCCTACGCACTATATGCCCATTCCTATTGGCCCACTGCATTCCATGGAGCTTGCATGAATGATGACAAGGGTCCATGATAAAAGATATGGGGGAGAAGAGGCAAGCCCAACATTCAGTAGCGTGTGTCCTACTTTACCCAACATGCTGCCAGTTTAGCTAGTGTGCGAGAAGACGAGGCCGCACAACATGCTGTCAACTTCACTCAGCAGCAGCAGACCAACCAAGCCACAGGCTGGCTGCTCTCGTTTGTTTTTTGACTAGTGAATTGGAGGTTCGGCAATCAGCTGTTATTAAACAGCTCTAATGTGTATTTTTTAAACTATCCAGTGACTAATTTTGTTAAAATGCACATTAGGCTCCATCCAGCCAAAGTTACCTCCCAGAACTGCCAGACAGTACGTAGTAGCCAACGAGGCTTACAATCACGGGAGTGAAAATCCCTTATGGAACACCTCATTTTCTGTTCCACCCTCTTCTGAGGATGACGTTTGCTCCGCCATCATAGGCGTGAGATGAACGAACTAAGCAGCGTGACCCACAAGAGGTGCAGGACTCATCAGGCAGCTTTGCACCCTGCATCCGCAGACCTGTTTGCTATTATTATTCTGATGGCCTTCCACAGCAGGCTCACTTCCTCACTGGACATGGCCTCCATTGGTACATTTTGCAGACACTGTATCCCTTCCTCTGCTCTCCGAACTCCTCACTGCCCCCACTTCCCTTTCTCTGCTCTACGCTCACTCTCATGCCCTTCTGCCTCTTCCCTTCCATTCTTTCCTCACTCTGCAGCTTGCCTGGATCCCTCTTGTGCCCAAAACCTTTCCTCACGTTCCTCTCTACCCATACAGCCAGCCAGCCACATGAGCCTCCTGACACTTACAAAAGAACTGAATCGGGGGCATAATCCCCTCCAGTGATTTGGCAACAGATGGCATAATGGGCCATACTGGTCGCTGTTCTGACATTTGCACAGGATGGAAAGCCAGTGTTTTTTAATTGTGAAGATAGTCCTAGGATCTTATTGTAGGGTGCACAGATCGTTCGTATTTATGTCAACATATGCCCGGAAGGTCTGTTGAGTCTCAACAAGATCACAGTCACACCACACTGATATTAAATGTGAACTAAATTATGGTTACCGGGAAAGGTGGAGGTTGGGGAGAGGCTGGAGGAGAGAGAGAAAAAATATGATGACACATCTGCAGCACCTTCTCTTTTGAAGGATTTCAATGCTCTCTATAAACTAGGGGCCCAATTTTTTCCTCGGTGCTATGAGTTACCCCTGGGCTCACAAGGCCAGACCTGGGCTACATGTTAGCCCTATGGTGGGCTGCACACATTGCATAACAACACTGCATGATAGCTTAGGGAAAGAAGTAGAGAATAAACCTTGTATCCAAATGAAACTGCGGGGGTGTGGGGAGGTACTGTTTAAAGCAGACAAACTGGGGTTATGCAAGTTGGGATTTGGCTGATATACTTTAACTGCAGAAATCTTAATAAAACATAAAGGAACCTTCACTTCCAATAAGGCCCTTTTTGCAGATGAAGGCACTTACATAATAAACATTTTAAAACACTAGAGTATAGAACATCAGGTTTAGTTCTAATCCTCGGGAACCCTGATGCAATACCACTTCCCTCTGACTGAAACAGTACATGCAGCTGTACTGTCTTCAGTGGGGCTATGCTGCTTTATACTTGCTGAAGAGCTGATCCTATAAGACCATTTGTCCTTTTATTGAAACTACTGGAGAGGGGAGGTTGCTCAACACAAATCTGCATTTTATTTTATTTTTTGCTTGTATTTTATTTTTTGCATAACAAGTTTCAACTGCAGGTCACTGTGATAGTTTAAGTTTTATTAATGCTTTTGTACCTCCCCAACTGGCTAACATTTACAGCTCCTATCATACCGGATGGGCTATTAGGCTCGTTGAAATTCAGAAGAAAGAGGAAATGAGTTGCTCTCCTCTCATTTCAGAAGTGGTGCGGCCTTCCTGAATTACCAATAACTAGACGCTTCTATTCTTCTAGCCCTGGTCTCCCCCCATGTTTACTTATATGTTGTAAACTGTATGCTGTACAGATTCCTTCAGAGGATGTGCTTGTTATAACCAAAGAGTACTACCAGGAAAAGTGTAACTGCTGTCACAGTTTCACACTTTGCTATTGCATGAAACTTCAGGAAATGGTGGTATGAGTAACACACTCATGGCATCTTCTGGTATGTGTTTAAGGAACTAAGAAATACTTTGCTTTTGTTACTGCTCTAGGAAGGGGACTCCAAGCAGCTCTGTAGGGCAGGAAGACCTATAGTCTCAAAAATTATTAATGATTTTGAATGCCTCAATTTTCAGGGCCCAACTGAAGACATCTTAAAGGGGCTTCTCTTTCTGAAAGTGCTGAGCCCCTACGTCTGACAAATCAGGTCCCTTTAAGCCTTCTCAAACTGAAAACTGAGCCACCAAAAATCACTGCTTAAAATTCAGGCCAGTTTCTTTAAACATAACTTCTAGAGCAGTGGTGGGCAACCTGCGGCCCATCAGGGTAATCTGATTGCGGGCCGCGACACATTTTGCAGATGTTGACTGTCCGCAGGCACGGCCCCCCACAGCTCCCAGGGGCCGCGGTTCGCCGTTTCCGGTCAATGGGACATTTCCGCAGCTCCCATTGGCCGGGAACAGAGAACCACGGCCATTGGGAGCTCCGGGGGCCCGTGCCTGTGGACGGTCAACATCAGCAAAATGTCCCGTGGCCCGCAATCAGATTACCCTGATGGGCCGCAGGTTGCCCACCCCTGTTCTAGAGGATGGGGAGAAAAAGGTTTCTTATGAAGAAACAGAGAAGTACAGCACAGAAAAGCTTTATGTTTTGTTTGAAAATTATCAGCTCATTTAAGAGATAACTATGTATTAACCTGGTCACTATACTACACTGGACTCTCTCATTTGTCAGGTCAAGTGGAACCTTATCCACAGTCACATTGCAGAAATAGCGATCCTGCTGCTGTTACTCATGCACAAAAGGGACAAGAGTGGGATTCACACAAGAAAACAGCTTTTGGCTTACAACGAAAGACTCACAACTATGGACAACACGAAGAAACATGCAAACACTTGAAAAACCTGAAGAGAACAACTGCAAAAAAGAGTTCAAAACTTAATCTCTCTTTTCCCACCACCGAAGGCATCACTTAAATAAAACCTGGGCATGGCTTCTGATTCATGCTTTAATGACTTGTGGTCCTTTGGAGAAAGAGGTGTGAAGAGGGATTTCCTTGTCACTTGTTTAGGCTTTAAAGTTGGTTCAGTATCAGAGGCACTAGACAGTCTTGTCACTCTTGACATTAAGTTTCCATTGCAGCAGATCTCTTAGCTGTCCTGTTCCACTTTGTTTTCTCTCCTTTGAGGTCCAAGTTCAAATGCTGGAAACTGGGAAGTCTCTGGTACCAATATGTCCGATAGGAAATGAATAGCTCCCGCCATGCCTGAAACATACAAACTGATTTCTTATTACAATAGCTTAAGAAATTAAAAAACAATCAGTCAGAGTTCAAACCAGATATATCAGACCCCGGCGAGGTCTACACTACAGCGGGGGGTCGACCTAAGATACGCAACTTCAGCTACGTGAATAGTGTAGCTGAAGTTGCGTATTTTAGGTCGACTTACCTGGCTGTCAGGACGGCGGCAAGTCTACAGCTGCTGCGCCGCCGTCGACTCCGCTGCCGCCTCTTGCCGCGGTGGATTTCCGGAGTCGACGGCAGAGCGATCAGGGATCGATTTTATCGCGTCTTCACTAGACGCGATAAGTTGATCCCCAATAGATCGATTGCTACCCGCCGATCTGGCGGGTAGTGAAGACGTGCCCCCCATTTTAAAACCTCCAGCCAGCAGTCTGCTCTGAGCGGGGGGGATCCTTATGTGCACATGGAGCCCTAAAGCCACTGAGATTTTGCAAGGGTGCAAGTTTCACCTGTATGGATCCAATTGCAGGACTGAGGCCTTAAATTGTGCACACTCTTGGGGCACTCTGGATCTGCAGAGTCCGGCACTACCTCAACCTATATCAATAATCAAAGAGCCTAGGGGGCAGGGATAGCTCAGTGGTTTGAGCACTAGCCTGCTAAACCCAGGGTTGTGAGTTCAATCCTTGAGGGGGCCATTTAGTGAACTGGGGTAAAAATCTGTCTGGGGATTGGTCCTGCTTTGAGCAGGGGGTTGGACTAGATGACCTTCTGAGGTCCCTTTCAACCCTGATATTCTATGATTATCCTAATTTAGATTGTGTCTGATTCTACACCTCACATTCTTCATGGTGCTATTATATGACTATATCATAATGATGATGTATTTTATGCAAGATGGGTCGTGTAAGGTGTCATTGGAAAAGTTATGATTTGCTGAATATGATTATCCTATTTGTATGCATGTATCATTTTTGTATCTGAAGTTATAAATACTGACTATGTATCTGTGCTTCAAATGTAGGTAATGCCCACTAAACTAAGATGCTTTCAATCTAGATAGCTGGTTGGGAGGCCTATTCAGTAGGGTGACCAGATGTCCCTATTTTATAGGGACAGCACCGATTTTTGGGTCTTTTTCTTATATAGGCTCCTATTACCCCCCACCCCCTCTCCCGATTTTTCACATTTGCTGTCTGGTCACCCTACTATTCAGGGCAACGAGGCATTCGGGAAAACAATAGGCATTTGGAGAAATTTAACTCTCACCTGGTAAGCCTTCCTGAGAACACTCCAGACAGCCTGTAAGTAATGGCTGCTATGACTCTGCAAGAACATGTGACCAGGCCACATGATTCTGGACTCCATCTTGGGATGTCAGTATTTCTCCACAAACTGGTCTGGGAACCAAGTTTTAAAACAAAGGGTTCCTGCCATATGCAAAAGCTATATAAGGCAGGGAATGACCTCATCTGTGGTTCTTCCCTCCCCACACAAGAAGATTCCTGGAAACATCCGAGGAAAAAGACTGAACTCGGGGAAGTGCTGGACCCAGGCTAAAGGGATTTCTAGCCTGTGTATGGAGACCTGAGAAACCCAAGCTGTAAAGCTAATGCAGCCTGTGCCTTAAGAATCTACAAGTCTGCCTGTACCATCAGTTAAGGTGGGAATCTGCTATTCATATCCAATCTCTCTAGTATATTAAGCTTAAGTTGCATTTTTCTTTATTTGCTAGGTAATCTGCTTTGATCTGTTTGCTATCCCTTATAATCTATCTTTTGTAGTTAATAAATTTATTTGATGTTTTAATCTAAACAGCGAGTTTGGAGTGAAGTGTGTGGGAACCTTAACTCAGAGGGGCTGTTGCATACTCCTCTCCACATTGTGTGTGAGGGGAACACTATGAGCTTATGCTGTACAGTTCCCTGTGCAGTGCGAGATGGTATCATTTGGGGTTTATGCTCCAGAGGGGGTGCGTGCCTGGGGAGCTGAGAGTTACCTTGGCTGTAGCCTTTCTACTGCTGGTACATGCAGTGACTAGTCAGAGAGCCTGCAAGCAACTGCAGCTGGGTGTGTCCCTACCTATGTGTATGCTGGTGGAAGTGTAAGACCGGGAGTGTGTCTGCAGTTTGTCACAGAAGCACAGTGTGACAGGCTGGTAGGTCAGAGGGCCCAGCAGTACCCCAGTTCCAGGTGGCACCCCAGGGGTAACCTGTCACAGTGTCTCCATAATAGCAACTCTTGAATAAAATTTAAAAAAAAAAAAAAAGTCACCCTTCTTTTCTGAACCCTGGTTTATCATAATAAATGTCACCAATTCCATGCCACTGGATAAACAAGGTATTAATATATTTATTGTTATCAGGAAGGTAGTGCCCAGAGGCCCTAATCAACCTCAAGGCCCAATTGTGGAAGGTCTCATACAAATACATGGTATTAATGCAAGTAAAATTTGGATTCCATGAACTTTAGAGCGACTACTGCTATTCTACAAAGCCATCTGTAATGTTTTCTAAATGGAGTTCTGCCATTATTGATGTATAGTATGTAATCTTGTTAATGTTGCAGTTTAACCACTTCTTAAAACAATTTTTAAATGCCCACCTTAAAAGTAACACTAACCACCCAGTTACAGGCCCCGATTCATGACAGCACTTAAGTATGTGCTTAACTTTAAGTAATGGAACTTTAGCATATGCTTAAGGACATGCTTAAACGTTTCCCTGAATAGGAACGTTTTCCTGGTTCAGAGTCTCGGATGCTCAATAAAAATTAATATATTAAAAACTCTTCTCTTCCTACTAGGCCCAAGTATCACCCTACAATGTGCACATGCAGCTCCTAGTGACTTTAGCAGAAAGAGAGAGAGTACACACGAGAGAGAGTGTGTACGCATGTGTGCACAAGAGAGGAGCAATTTGACTCAGACTTGAAAAAATTTGGTTAGACAGAGAGAGAGAGAGAAAAAAAAAAAAGAAAACTTGGCAAAGTTCCTCCAAATTGTAACTTCCATTTTTTGTAGCTGCGGGTCACATTAACCCCTAGACAGCCGTGAGTGGCTTTCTTTCTGCATCATGTTCTCAGTGAGTTTCTAAGCTTCTATTCTACAAATAACTCCACGGGTGACTTTGCTTCCACTACATATAAAGATCCAGTCACGATTGCTGCAGAAAGCAGCAGTTAATTCAGGGCACCATATCAGAAATACGAACACTATAATCATATTCTTTACCCCAACTGCATTTGGAAGAGGTGCATATAACAGCTGCTAACACAAAAGCCCTTAGATTGCATTACTATTCTAAAAAACACACATATAAAATCCTCTGTAATTCCCCATACTTGTGATAGGTGGTGCATTAGGTTCACTATCAAAGAACAGCAAAGCTATTTTTAAGCCTTTTAAGGGCGAAGATTATTGTTCTGTTTTGAGTTTACAAAAGATAAGGATTTACAAGAGAGCGTTAGAAAAATATAAACTCTACTTTTCTACTTGTTCATTGTAGAACAGTGGTTCTCAAACTAGGGCTGCTGCTTGTTCAGGGAAAGCCCCTGGCGGGCCGGGCTGGTTTGTTTATCAGCCGCGTCTGCAGGGTGGCCAGCACCTCCCTCGGCCCGCGCCGCTTCCTGCAGCCCCCATTGGCCTGGAGCGGCGAACCGCGGCCAGTAGGAGCCAAACCGGCGGACGCAGCAGGTAAACAAACCGGCCTTGCCCGCCAGTGGCTTTCCCTGAACAAGCGGCGGCCCTAGTTTGAGAACCACTGTTGTAGAATATTTAAGTGACACAGGAAGGCCTTTAATCAAAACACAGCATTTCTTTTCTTTAGCTGTGTGGATGAATTTGGTTAATATTGGTACTCAAGAAAGGACTAATAGAACTAAGTCTGGCCCTAGGCAGGCCTAACAGACAAATTTTCTTACGGGCCTCTGTCAAAGAAACAAACTACTAATCTGCAATGCCATTGCAATTCCGGTCTGCTGCTCACTCAGTAATTATGATTTATAGGATAGTTCTGTGATGCACAACAACTATCCAATTGCCCAGACTCATGCTTGCTTATGACCCAAAAAGGCTCCAAACACAGGAGAGATTAATGAATAAACCAGTGCCCCGAATGAATAAACCATCAAATACCCAGTGGCACCAGTTTTATATTGAAAATTTGTAGAATGCAGCTTTTAAAAGGTTTTTCCCCAATAAAGGAAAACATAACCGTTTTTCTGACTTCCAGTCACATGCCTTACCACAAGATTGTCCTTCTTCCTAATACAACCCAGCCTGCAGCAACAATACTTTACCTTCAAATAGAGAGTAGGGTCGGTCAGGAATACGACATCCATGTGCACCATACTCTAAACACCACTCTGCAAACTGTGGGAGAGAGGGAAAAAGAAAAGGAAAACAGAGTGGCTTAAATGTGTACGTATACAGATGCAAGCTTGGACAGCAGCACATAAAGCCACCTTTTAATATATAGAAAATGCAATGAGGCTCAAGCAGAGAAACAAACTGGACTCATTATCCAAGATTAAATTGTCCTGCCTCAACTAGGCTAAGACTTCAATTAGTTTTCAGGAAACTGGAAATGCAGATTAACTGAAATCCACTACATGGTGATATAGTTTAATTAGTGGGGCAGATTTTACGTACACTTTTCACTGAACATCTTGGGGGAGGAGGGGGAGAAGAGGAAAGAAAAATGCTGCAAGAACATATTTGTATGTCAATTTGAAGGGCAAGCAGAGAATGCACCATAATGGCAACAATTTCTCCCTCTCCCTTCTAATGTATCCTTGCGGTCATGAGTAATGCCCATTAATCACATTTCTGTGTCCCTACATTGCTCACACTTCAATTTAGAATATTTAATATTCAACAGCCATTACATTACTAACCTTATTTTGTCCACCCTGAGCATTATGGTAAATCAGTTGGATCATTAAGGTCGTCAATCTTTTGTTTTCAAGAACTTTCCATTTTCTGCCTCAACTGGGCAGAGGGCGCCATTGAAAACTGTATTGTTTTCCGATATGCCTGATTAACAGTAGTTGGTATACTTTGTATAGGGAATGCTACAAGTACTGGGCTAACATTAATTACTTGCAAATTGCATTTGGAAAGATTTTAACAGCAACGATAGTTTAAAAGCTCTTTTATGGGCCTCTCAGAAGCAATATCTGTGGATCCCACCTACTCCCTTGGTCTCTCCATGTGCTTTGCTTTTCTAACATGTTTCAGCTCTGAGTCCTCTATTACTGGAACAGTCCTGCAAAGCACCCATTTAAACAAATGTCCCCTGTAATTTGAACAGGCTTATAGAGAATAGCTTTTCCTTCTCAGTAGAGGTCACCATTGCTCCATTTGTACTAGAGTCTAGCTATAGCATATTTTTTTGTCGTTTGGTTCTACTGCACCCAACAATAGCCACGAGACCAGACCAAGAATCAATTAATCAGAAGCAAAAGGAAAGTCTCACCCTCCTTCCTCGCACATATTCCTGAAAAATAACTCCTTCGTTTAGTGAGAGGAGAGTGATGCTTTTAGAAAAGAGAAAGTATTAGTACTCATCTCAAATAATTTTTAGGCCCAGTTCTGCCCTCAGTTATGCAGGTGTGACTCCCACTGAAGTCTACAAATTACTCTCCCTGTAATGGAGAGCAAAACTGGACTTTTGTCTGCAAAGTGTTTCTAACCTTAATGACTTCTCATGGCATCCATGAAAGGTAAAGTATCATTATTATTCCAGGAATGGAAGCAGAGGTTAAGTGACTTGCTGAAAAACTCTGAGGGGAATCGGTATCAGAGCTGGATTATAAGTCAAAAGTTCCTAGCTCCAAGTCGGGGTGACGGGTGGTGGGGGGGGAGGCGGGGGGGGGGGGGCGCGAAGAGAGAAAGCCAGGCAGGCATGTTCATCAAGAAAGCAGCTTAGGGTGCCATCTAGTTTCCACCCAGATGGACTTTCTGACTTCAAAAATTCCGTTTGTGTTAAAAATGCTTTTACCCTCACTGAGATTCTGTTTCACGCTGCTAATTAGGTGACAGAAGGGGTGGAGACACCATCTACCTCTGATCATTACTTAGTCTTTCCATTTTATATTGTTACAATTTTATTCAGCAGAAAAAAAATTTCAACAGTCCCAGATACACAAGGCCCAGAAGATCAGCGGTACCTACAGCCACTGCCAGACAAGTTTATTCAACTAATGGGACAATCTGTTGCAAGCCGAACAAAAAAAAAAAAAAAACAACCCACATTAAATAGCTGTTATTTGAAAAGCCAGAAGATTGAAGCATTCAGGCAAGTGATCTCTCTCTGACTCAATAACTCCCAACCTCTGCTCTCTTCCAAGTCCTCTTAACGGTGCAAGAAATAGCCAACAAGCAGCTGTGCCATTATCAAAGATTCTTGGGTTGATTCTCTACCTTCAGCCTCATGCTTTCAGTGTGATCAGATACTGTGGTGACAGGAGCCATACAATTATCTAGATAGATAGGCGTAGGTACCCAGTGTGACTGGACATCTTGTTACATACTGCTCCATACAAGAGAGATTTTACAAACTGCCTTAGCACTTTTGAAAGTCTCTCCCTTAAAAGACATTTAAAAATGTTAAAAATGTTAAATGCTTCAGAACCTTGGAGACTACAGGACGCAAAGTGGCTGTAATATATTACCAGATATTACAATCCTTCTGTCCTCCCACAAAGGGCATATGACAAAACTTAACCCGATTAGAAAAGGAGGAGGATGGTCCAGGGGTAAGGGCACGAGCCTGGGAGTGGAAGAACTTGAATTTGACATCTTATATGGCCTTGGGTAAGTCATAGTCTCCCTGTGCCTCAGTTCCCCATCTGTAATATGGTATTAATAGCACTTCCCTAACTCACAGGGGTGTTGTGAGGATAAAGATAAATTAGAATTCAAAACAGTACAGAAAAGGGCAACAAAAATGATTACGGGTATGGAACAATTTGCATATGAGGAGAGATTACAAAGACTGGGACTGTTCATCTTAAATCTATAAAATCATGAATGGTGAAGAGCAGTGATTCTCAACCAGGGCTACGTGTACCCCTGGGGGTACTCGGAGGTCTTCCAGGGGGTACATCAATTCATCTAGATATTTTCCTAGTTTTACAACAGGCTATATAAAAAGCACTAGCGAAGTCCGTACAAACTAACATTTCATACAGACAATGACTTGTTTATACTGCTCTATATCCTATACACTGAAATGCAAGTACAATATTTATATTCAATTGATTTATTTTATAATTATATGGTAAAAATTAGAAAGTAAACAATTGTTCAACAATAGTGCGCTGTGACACTTTTGTGTGTTTATGTCTGATTTTGTAAGCAAGTAGATTTTAAGTGAGGTGAAGCTTGGGGGTCTGTAAGACAAATCAGACTCCTGAAAGAGGTACAGTAGTAGTAGTCTGGAAAGGCTGAGGGCCACTGGTGTAGAGAAAGTGAATAAGGAAGTATTATTTACCCCTTTACGTATAACAAGAACCAGGGGTCACCCAATGAAATCAACAGGCAGCAGGTTTAAAACAAACATAAGGAAGTTCTTTACACAATGCACAATCAACCTGTGGAGCTCGATGCAAGGGGATGTTGTGAAGGCCAAAACTATAACTGGGCTCAAAAAAGAACTGGATAAGTTTGAGGAGGATAGGGTCCACCAATGGCTATTAGCCTAGATGGTCAGGGATGCAACCCCATGCTCTGAGTGTCCCTAAGCCAGTGACTGCCAGAAATTGGGACTGGATGACAGGGGAATGGATTGCTCGTTAATTGCCCTGTTCTGTTCATTCCCTCTGAAGCATCAGGCTCTGGCCACTGCTGAAAATCAGGATATTGGGCTAGATGGACCATTGATCTGACCCAATATGGCTGTTCTTACGTTCTTAAAAACACTGAAGGATTGTGAGGCACTCAGACATTATGGTGATGGAGGCCATATAAAAGTACCTAAGATAGATTGCGTTAGACCTGGTCAAGACAGATTGACCTACAGACATTACATATGCTACGTGACTGCTAGTGATTTATACAATTGTTTAGATCTACATCTCTAATGCCACTCTCCTTCAAATCATGCTGCTTCCCTGGACGAATCCAGAGCTGGAAGACAGGAAGTCCTGAGGTCTAATACCAGCTAGGCCTCTGGCTTGCTGGGCACTACAGTAAATATCAGAGGATACAAGCAAACAGAGGGCCAACAGTTTTAAAACTTTCGACTGTTCCACAGTGAAATGTTCGGAATCCACACAGCCTCTGTACAGATGGCCACTGCTGATTTGAAGACAGTTGGGAGACTATTTTTCAAATTTCCTGTTGAAGTATTTTAAAAATAGTCTCAGACTATACAGAAAGGTCTACGATTGTCTAATTAACTTCAGCGAGTTAAGGCTCATGACATCCTGGTGAGGTAAGAAAACAGAGGCACAGAGCTCAGATGACTTTCCCAAGATCACAAAGGAAGCAGTATGTCAGAGCAAGGATTAGCTCTCAAAGCAGTACTCAGACCATGGGGCTCTTAAGCCCAGCAAAAAGTAATCAACTCATTTTATATACATTAAAATTGAATCCATGCGATTCAAAGTTCTAGAACCCCAAGGTAACAACTAGTGTGAAAGCCAATGAACCAAAGTATAACCATTACAGACCACTAAACAGTCACTGCTAGATCAGATGTAACCCATAGCGGATATCACAAGGGAATACCTATAGTATATTTTTAATATCACAATAGAACACTGGTTAGCTACGTTTAGAGCAGGTATCATCTTTTCAGGCCACTCCTATTTCTGATTCTAAACACTCCCTACATTTTGAGAATTAAATAAAAAAAGTTACAGGTAGCATAGAAATATTATTCCTTTTTATGATATTAGGGTATGTGATATTTGCAATTAATCACACAGAAATTCATACATGACTGTAGCCGGCAGAGAAGAAGCAATGCAGTAAATCCCACCTTGCAAGCCCGGTAGAGATACTTTTTGTCCTCAGTTAGGTGATAGAGAGATAAGAAGGAGTAGCCATTGCCAGCGGTCCCATGGCAGATTCCATACCCTTTCCTCAGCAAACCTCTCTGCCAGATGACATCACTGCAGTCCATGGCATCCTTCAAATATTTATCCTCTTTAAAGCTCTATGGAATAAGAAAAACACTCAAATTCAACCAACCTACCCAGCAACAGAGAAAGGGAGTGGAGAATGGGGCAAGTTTCATCCGTTCTCTAGCTATTTATAATCCACCCATCACGGCAATAATTTTCCTCTCTTACCAGACTGCTTCCCCTCCTGTGCAGGATAAAAGAAAATTAAGAGGACTTTATGAATCTGAAAACACAAGATCCGTATCTTAAATTCTAGATTCTCTCTATAGTCCACATTTATCATCTCTCTCTCTCTCCTTTTTTCACTACTCCCCCCTCCTCCAAATTGTGACTGTGTTTGATTTAACCTTGAAATACAAAAGGGTTATTCTAATTAGATTCATGTAACAGATGGGGGCACAAGGGGTTTCAGCCCCAAGCCTTCTGGTTGAGGTCATGGTGACTTCTGGCCAAGGGCAGGTCCTCCCTGTTTCTACATTGAAACGCTGTCAAAGAAATGCTTTACATTTCATATTACCCAGTATGGCATTTGCCTCTTTACCAGAAGCACAACAAAGAGCAGTACATTGCCTTGACTACAGATCATTGTTTGTACTGCAGTAGCTCTGCGAGGCACTAGCCCCATTGTGCTAGGGACCATACAAGCATTCCTCCCAGCCTGACCTTCAGCTGTGTTTCAAACACCAAGAACACACTCTGGCAGACTTTACTCACACCCAAAACTCCATCTAAAGTTATGTTATGGAATCCATCAGGAAAGCAGGGAATGAAACAGATGGTTTTCACTGAGACAACAGAGACCTGTAGTCTTAAGCAGCCAGTTTCTGCTCTTCTCTATCTGGTCTAACTCAGATCAGCAGCAAGTCAAAAAAGGGATGGTTGACATGCTTAGAGGTTTATAAAGCCTTGATCTATCAGTGGCTGTCATTAAGCAAGTGAATAGTACCATCAGTATGAGGTTTTTTTTTTTATTATTTTATTTTATTAAATAGTTTCATGAGCTTTGTAAAATTCGACCAACAAGGCAGAGAAAACATCTCACTATCTGAACAACTTCTCTATTACCACACAAGGACAGTCCAGTTACAAGACTTAACTTGAAGGCTGGATGATTGGTTCTAGTTTCCAAGGCGCTACTTTCCATTACCTAAATCCCTCTTAGTCAACAGATCGTACTCCATACTGTAAAGTATCTCTTCAATTACTTTTTATATTGCTCTTTAAGAAAGGAGACTGAGAAGTAAAAAGAAGCTGATTATGTGACCTGAACATCTTAAAAGACAAGGTAGGGCCAAAGAAGTGTCTGCCAACCAAAAATGTTCCTGATCCTCTCAACTCCTCAAGATATACAGCATTTTGTGCTGAGAAAGCATCACATCGGGAAGGGAAAAATGGATTTTTGCAGTGTCCAATCACCCTTCCTCTCAGAGCACTCCAGAGCACATGCTCCTGTGGCTTCTGTTGCATTCAGAAACACTTTAGGAGGTTTACAGTTCAAATTTCAGGTAGCAGTGCACATAATTATACAGATAACCATGAACGCTTTTCATCAACCCACTCAAAGACCAAGCAGAGAACCTGCCAAGGCAGCTTGTCAAGAACAGGAATCAATTTGCATAAATTTAATTAAACTGCTTGCTTACTAATGTTCTGTGACTCAGAGCTCCGGAACCTGAAAACAGCAGCAGAACCAGTGAGGATACATAGGAACAAAGACTAGGCTAGTGCTAAATTACTGTGATAGGATACACATTATATTTGTCAGGCATCTGGGATCTTTGTAATCTGACATCAGCAGTAAGCACTACATCTTAATAATACTACAATCCTTAAAGTAAAAGGTGGTTTAGAGATATTGATTTTTAAAATTAAAGACACCTTTAACATTCTGAATAAAGACTCAAAGATTACAGACCAAGATTTCAAAACTAGGAGCCTGAAGATCAAAAATTACTTCTGTAGACATACGGACACCTGAGGATGTGTGCGTACATGTATAAGAGAAAGACTTACCTTATAAGCTTGCATTAGCATGTGGATGACTCCCGGTGCACCATGGCACCAGTGGACTAGTCTATCCGTTTCATTGCTTAATGATGATGGGTAGTTCCCAGATCTGAATTTTTTATGACGTACATAGTCAATGCTCGGTTTCACCAGCTCCGTCAGGGTCTCCTGATCCACATTTGAAACTGGCTAAGAACAAAATAATCACATATTAAAATGCAATTCTTTACTCTGTCCATTCGATTTTGCGTACACAAATTCTCATATGTAGAAAATTCCATGTACAAATCTCAAAGCTCTTTATAAGCATTTCATTAATTTAGCCTCACAATACCCTTATGAAAAGCAGCATTATCCCCTTTCTACAGATGGACAAATTGAGGCACGTTGGGTGACTTACATCAAGAGGACCCAGGATGACTGTGGCAGAACTGGAATAGAACACAAGTTTCAAGACTCCTAGACCTCTATCAATGCCTTACATCACAAGAGAGCACTTAAGGAGGAAGGTGGTTTGGTTATTTACAACACACACTTGAAGACAAAAGATATATAAGCCCAGTCTGGTTTTAAAACAATGGCCTAACTGCGTGAAATACAAACCTGGCATGAGCTGTCCCTCATAAGGCAGCTAGCAGAGTACTGTTGTACTGTTGTGGCCAATGACTCATCTTTCTAAATGTTTATGACGGTAAAGTATTTTCATCATAAATAAAGCTTCCTAAACCTATGGACAGCTGAAGAAAGTAAACAAACTGAGTGGCAGGATCTAACACAGTCAGCCCAACAGTCGGTTGGGAAGAATCACATCCAGAAGACAGACATCAAGGACCAGATTTTCAATATTTATTTAGGTGCCTGCCTAGTGTTGCAGATAAGTGCTTTTGAAAATCTTCGTAGGTGCATTTGTGAATCTTTAGGCACCTAAATATCTTTGAAAAATGCTATTCTTCCCCTAAAAGAACAAGGAGTACTTGTGGTACCTTAGAGACTAACACATTTATTTGGGCATAAACTTTCGTGGGCTAAAACCCACTTCAATGGATGCATGCAGTGGAAAATACAGTAGGAAGATAGATAGATAGATAGATAGACACACAAACACACACACACACACACACACACACACAGAACATGAAAAAATGGGTGTTGCCATACCAACTATAACGAGACTAATCAAATAGCCCACCTTCATTGATTACTCTCATTATAGTTGGTATGGCAACACCCATTTTTTCATGTTCTGTGTGTGTGTGTGTGTGTATGTATATATATATATGTATATATATATATATATATATATAAAAAATACAGTAGGCATATATATATACTGTATTTTCCACTGCATGCATCCAATGAAATGGGTTTTAGCCCAAGAAAGCTTATGCCCAAATAAATTTGTTAAGTCTCTAAGGTGCCACAAGTACTCTTGTTCTTTTTGCTGATATAGCCTAACACGGCTACCATTCTTCCCCTAGATACTCCCTATGACTTCGCATTAATGTTAATAGGATTTACATTCTTGCCATAGAGGAGAGTATACCCACTGAGTTGCATGCCCACTTCTAGGTGAAGTGCTGATACCAATACCTTTATACTTAATTAGTAAGTACATTGTGGGGCTTGCAGGTGTTCCTAATTAACATTCATCTCCCCTCCCACCTACTTTATGGGATTTTCACAATAAGGCTCTATTCTTTTCCAAGCCCACATGATATCTGAAATTCCTGAAAGCCTTGGGCGTAGCAGGGACCCCGTAATTGAGTCAGTGACAGGGACCTCATCAGTCTTTTTAAATTATTGCCCACTGTGCTCAATTTTATTACAGTGCTTCTGCAGATCTGCATTTAATAGGACAGCACCCCGCTGCAAATTCATACTCCTAGAGCCAAAGGAGAAGACTTTAAACATCTACAGCTTTCAAATATGTTCACCTTGAAACTGCAATATCTATTTACTTGGTTTTTTTCTTATGTCAGACGAGGAATGTTTACTTTGCTGGCCTAGTTAGTTATAAGTACCAAAGTCAGCTACTGTGCTATCAGTGGGTGACATTATTGTTTCACCATTAATCACAGGTACTTACATAAATCCCTCAGCTCTCCAGAAAAGCACAGAAATATAGGGCTGGAAGGGACCTCGAGAGGTCATCTAATCCAGCCCCCTGCACTAAGGCAGGATTAAATATCTCTAGACCAGCCGATCTCAACTCGCGGCCTAATCAGCACACAGCTGTAGCCCATGCGATATCCTCAGGGCTGTAACTATGGTCGGATGGGAGGAGCACCTGCCCCAGGCACTGAGCTGGCGGGGGAGAGGGGGTGCAAATTCAGGCCCAGCGGTGTCAGCCCCCCGCCCCCAGCAGGATCAGACCCAGTAGCATCAGCAGGAGACCAGGGTGCTCAGTGCCCCCCCCACACCACAGGATTGCAGGTCCAGTGACCCTGGCTGGAGCAGGCTCCCTAGCACTAGGACCACAGCGGCAAGTGGGCAGGGCAGGCGGCACAGCTGAGCTACCTGCAGTGGAGGTAAGAGACCAGTGGGCATGCGGGGCGGGGGGGAGAGGGGTCAGGGAGCTAGGACTGCAGAAGGGGGTTGCAGCTGATGCGTAGGGAACTGGTGGCCGGAGGCAGTCCCTGGATGGGGGGCTAGATATTAAGGCACCGTCCCTAGGTGGGGAGCTAGGTGCATGGGAGGCAGTCCCTGGGTGCGGGGCTGGAAAGGACAGTCCCTAGAGGGGCTATTCGGCCCCAAACAGGGCACCCTGTCTCTGCAGGGCAGGCATGTGTGCCAGCACAGCGCAAGGGGGTCTAGATACTGGGGAGGCACTCCGCACCATGCAGGGCTCCCATCTTTACAGACAGGTTCCACAGCTGCGCTCTCCGGGTGCTCAGCCCAGCCACCAGCAGCAGCACAGAAGCGAGGAGGGCAATACACCCTGCCATGCAAACCTCACAGTACATTAATTAATTTTAACAGTTAATGTTTTGACTTTTTTTGCTAATTTAAAATGCTCTTCGTAGACATTTGCCAGTGTTGAAATGAAAGGCCCTATATCAATTTGAATCATAATGCTGTCAGATAACAAATACTAAACCTAATTTTTTTTGTAGATGTACAGGTAGTATATATATTGTGTAGATGCAGCCCACATAACACAGAGACCTGCATATGCAGCCCACGATGGTAAACACGTTAAGAACCACTGCTCTAGATCATGCCTGACAGGTGTTTCTCTAACCTGTTCTTTAAACTCTTCAAATGACAGGGATTCCATGATGAATTCCCGGAGAGAAGAGAAACTTTTGAGTGAGTGGCGATTCACAACTAGATCTAGATGGTGCTGCAGTGTCACAGAAATGACTCTCCAGTCAAGAATCTTAGGGCTAATCTTAGGCCTGTGATAGAAGGCAGGAGCTCTGGTAGCAAGCGTGCCTTAGGCACTGTCTACACAACACAGTTAGATTGATGCAAGGCAGGTTACATCAACCTAGCTGTGCATGTGTCTACACTTAAATTAGGCTCCCATGGATGTAAGTGCCCTGTCATGCCTACTTAAGAACACCACCCCTCTGAGCGGCATACAGCTACGGTCAATGTACTTAGTGTAGACATTAAGGCTTGGTCCACACTGGGGCGGGGGATCGATCTAGGAAACGCAACTTCAGCTACGAGAATAGCGTAGCTGAAGTCGACGTTTCCTAGATCGAACTAAGTTTACTTACTGCGGGTCCACGCGGCGCAGGCAAGCTCCCCCGTCGACAGCGCTTCCTCCTCTCGGCAAGCAGGAGTTCCGCAGTCGACGGGGGAGCGCTTCTGGGATCAATTTATCGCGTCCAGATGAGATGCGATAAATCGATCCCAGAAGATCGATCTCTGCCCGCTGAATCAGGCGGGTAGTGTGGACCTAGCCTAAGTTACTTAAGGCGACCGTAACTGTCCTCCAGCAGCTATCCCACAATGCCCCACACTGACATCTCTGGTCACCATTGTGAACTCTGCTGTCGGGGTCACAGAAACTGGAAACGCATTCCTTCCCCTTTAATGCCCTATGAATTTTTGAAATTCCTTTTCGTGATTGCCCAGCTTGGCAAGCACACCTAGCAGCTCTCCATTGTTATATGGAACTGCCCAGCTGACCATGCTGGCTACACACTCCAGACACACATCTGGCTGGAGTAGACAGGAGATACTGGATCACCTGGGTCTGTGGGGAGAGGAGGCTGTGCGGGCACAGCTCCAAACCAGCCACAGAAACGTCAACATCTCTGGGCAGATTGATCGGGGGGATGCAGGAGAAGGGGTCTAACAGAGACCAGCAGCAGTGCTGCATGAAAGCCAAGGAACTGCGGCAGGCATATCACAAGGCCAGGGAGACCAACAATCGATCTGGGGCCGAGCCGCAGACCAGCTGCATTTACAAAGAGCTGCATGCTCAGACTTGGCAGAGACTCCACCACCCCCAACAGCACTGCGGATACCGCCAGTGAGCCAGAGTCACAGGCCCCTGCTGCGAACAGCGAGGAGGAGGAGGAGATGGTGAAGAAGAGGAGGAGTACGGGGAACAGGCAATCGGGGGGGATCCAGCTGTGCAGCAAGCCAGGACTCCACCTCAGTCCAGCCAGTCGAGCATGGATGAACCCGAAGCAGAGGAAGGAACCACGCGTAAGTGTGTAGATATTCAGTTACAGGGATGGCACCCCCCAAAGAAGCAGGATACATCTTTGGACCTTTCATTAATTTACTCATGCTGGAAGAGATGGTGGTACAACCGAGAGAGGTAGAGTTGCTATCTGCTTTTCATTCCTTCTAGAGCAATGGGTCTCAAACTTTTTTTTACTGGTGACCCCTTTCACATCGCAAGCCTCTGAGTGCGATTCCCCCCCCCCCCCAGTAAATTAAACACCCTTTTAAATATATTTAACACCATTATAAATGCTGGAGGCAAGCAGGGTTTGGGATGGAGGTTGACAGCTCGCGACCCCCATGTAATGAACTCGTGACTCCCTGAGGGGTCCCGACCCCCAGTATGAGAATCCCTGTTCTAGAGTAAGGCAGGGGGCAGGCAGAGCAGTTTGTTTACATGCACAGGGATGTCCCAGGAATCCTCCAGAGAGATCTCAATGAAACTTCCATGGGGGTATTCTGCAATCCTCTGCCAAAGGTTTCTAGGGAAGGCTGCCTTCCTACACTACTCAGTGATAACTTCAGCAGGCACCACTGCAGTACACGGGCTAGCAGCATACACAGGCCCATGCAGCTTCAGGACGCCAGCAGCAGTTGTGCTCTCTACCTTTGTTACCCTCAGGAGTGAGGCATAGCTAAAATCACCACCACCTGTGCAAAACGGTGCCAGTATCCAGTGCCCCTGCCCTACGCTACTACATAGCGAATACACGGACAATAATGCCTGGGTCAGATAAGGAGGAGAAAGGAGAGGACTCAAGGTGACATGTTCAATGAGATCCCGCAGGCCAATGCTGCATCAGATAGCAAGCACAGGGCCTGGAGCATGAACATTGCGGACAGCCTGGAGAAGGATAGGGTAGAGAGGAGAAAGGCACAGGAAAAGGAGAGGGAGATGTACCAGGACATAATGGTACCCATACCAATATGTCCTCCAAGGAATCGTCATGTTCCCCATGGCTCTGCAAATACTGCAGGATCACGTGCCCTGTGCTTGCAATGCTATGACAATAGTGCAGAGCTGTCCAGGCTCCATGTTTTTGTCAGAGAGGACAGACATCGAGAACAGCCATGCGGGTTTGTGGGATTTTGTGTGGGGGGGGGGGGAGAATGCAAAAATTATGGAGATACAGATGACGTTATGGGATGGAGACAGTTGCAAACTGGCAAGTTGACCCCATGCTCCCAGTCACCCTGGCACAACTTGTTTCAGCCCCATCATGCACTGCCAAAGCTTCCCAAAAGACAGTGCATTGGATGGTGAAGAGTTGCACACTGGTATACCTACTCATGGTGCACCACACTCTGCATAGATACAGCGCGCTGACATAAGGAGACAAGCATGCACGCGCACAAATGATGCGCTTACTGCGGCAGCTGTATGCCGACATAAGTTGAGTTGACATAAGTTGCTAGTGTAGACATGGCCTTAGACACACAGCCTCAAATTGTGCACAGGGGGAGTGTAGCCACTGGACCACCTTTTGATTGCGCCAGCAGTGTGTAGTCCTTGTGCCACCTCAGTGCAATTGTATTCTGTCCTCATGCAGGGATACACCTGCGGAGTGAGACTTTTTACATCTTTCTTTCCTTGCTTGTGCTCCCATTTAGGTCTGTGCAAAATCAACTTTAATTTAAGTTGACCTTTCTTTTAAAGTTAAGAGCCAGTGATAGGACCCGTGTTTCTATAGAATGTTATTTCACTCAGACCACAACAATGGCACCAAGCTAGTAACTGGGAAGAATTACTGTCCCTAGCACAGATACAGCAGAGCCCACTATGGTAGACACAACGTATGCTGACAGGAGTTTCTCTGTCGGCATAGTAACACCACCTCACCAAGCAACATTTGCTATTCCAACTGAAGCACTCTTCCGTGGGCACAGTTGTGTCTGTACTGGGGGCTTCACTGGCATAGCAACGTTAGCTACAGGGCATTGTCTTTCCATGCCTCTGAACGACACAGCTATGCCGACAGAACTTTGTAGATTAGTCCTGGCCTGAGATCATAAGCTCTCTGGGAGAGGGACTGTCTTTTTGTTCTGTATTTGGACAGGACCAAGCAAAATGGGCCAATACAAATAATAAATAGAGTAGTTATTAAAGACACAAACTTACTAATTAGCTAAGAACTGTTAGATGGAGGGAAAGAGTTTATTTAATGATTAGAGGAGGGGACTTGGCCTTGAGATTTCTGGCTCATATCTGCTCGGGCTTGCTGCTACTTAACACTGCCGTGCCTTGGTTCATCCAGCTATAAATAGGTATACTAATACTTACTAACCTCACAGTGGTGTTGCAAGGAACTGTTTGTAAAGGGCTAGAGATCCTCAGATCACAGGCAGTAAGTACAAAGTAGGATTATAATTAAAGAAATAAAAAACTCCTAAGTTCTTTGCCAAAAAGTTCTCCTAGTATTGGCAAAAACCCACATATCTTGTTCCTTCTGCAGGAAGGGACTCAACTCTGAGTGAGTCACAACATTTAATGTTCAATGAAAAGGCATAAACCTAATAATGTACAAGTAGGTTTTGTGGTAATAGTCAAAAGCAGCAATCTTACAGAGGAAGAAATTACAATTCTGCCTAGATTTATGATCAGAGTAGTTGCCACTTACAACCAGCAGTATTTGACAGAATTATTTCTGTTAATTAACCACCTGAAACAGCAAAGAAAGAGGAAAGGGCTGGAAAGACATGGTGATTTTCCTAAGGGAGGGGATGTTATCAGGAGGGTCAATGGAGTGGGGGGGGAGAAACAGGGGAGGAAAAGGGGAGCAAGACAAGATGCAGAAACTTGTTGGGAAAAAGTGTTTTCTTGAGGAGGAAAAGTGGGAGGGTCAAGGAGAGGGCACAGTAAATTATGGCACTCAGACTGAAAGGAAACAAATTCCTTGCACTTTGCGGGGAAAGGGGTGCTCTGCATGAGCAGATAAGAAACTTGATATTACCTGAGGCAGAACAAAGACTGCCAGCACCTTTGGAAAGTAGAGCGAGGGGCATAAATTAGACTTTGCAGCCCAATAGCTACAATGACATTTGCTGAAATTATTTCCAGATCTCATCACTAATATGAAGATGAGGCATGTGCAGCTTGTCTTCAAATGTCAGCTTCGCCTTTGAGAGTCACTGTGGGACCTGGGAGGGATGGCATTTGAGGTGCCGGAAAGAGGGAAAGTACAGAGGACAGCAAGTTGGTTAAGGGCAACAGGCAGGGCAGTGTTGTGGGCAACAACCCAAGGGAGTGGGGAACATCAGAATAAACCAGGCTAGAAATCAACAGGATGAAGGTGCTTGAGATAATGTAGTTTTTTGGAGTTGAGAGATGGTGGAAAATGTACTCAAAGCGGTGGTTGGTGTAGGCGAGATCAGGGAAAGAGGAACAAAGGCATTTCTGATGGCAAGTTCATTGCTGTGAACAGGAAAACAGGTGAGAGAAATAACTGAAGAGTCAAGAGCTAATTTGGAAGAGTGAGGGTCAAGAGGGACCTTTAACACGCACAATAAAGCCCTCAATAAGATTCAGACATTACTAAGTTTTAGGGACCATTATGTTAAGTGACTGAAACTCTTAACTACTGTTTCATACAAAAGAACCTTACCTTGGAACACTAGTTTACCTACCTGCATTAGCATATAATAGATCCCAGCCACGCCATGGGCTGCTCCAATGTACTGCTTCCTGTGCCATTGGTACAACAGAGGGCAGCGTTCAGTCTTGCGTTCCTCCTTTGAGAAGTTTTTACCTGATTCAATAATGGCATCTACCACCTAATGTTGAAATAAAACAACAAACACTTGCCATGAATATCGCTTTCATTTATTCAGAGAGGACTACTTTACAAAGAATTGTAAGACACAACACTAGAGAGAATGTATCAAAGAATATGAGGCAATATACAAGTCTACCTCTGCACTACAAAATATCGTATTTCCTTATCCCATCAAGACTTTTAAGTGTCAGAAAAACTGCAATTTTTCTGTACAATAAAAAGCTCTAACCTTAATTTGCCCTCCCTCCCTTGTGCATGTGTATTATAATACAGTCTTTAATTACACAATCACATACTATTTTTTCCAAAGGATCCCTGCCTCATTTGGTGCACAGGACAAACCTGCGCTGAGATCAACAGGGCTGTGTAATGAAGGAGGCTGTTGTGTGTAGGTCACCTGCCTCATTTGTTGCAGAAGTTGGAAGGTGTGTAGTGAATGAGGCAGGGGATGTAGGAACAGAAAGGATGGGCTCAAGGTTAAGACAGTTGAATGCAGTCCTGAAGAATTGTCTTCTAACCCAATTAAGACAACCTTAATTCTGGCATTTCCTAACTTTTGAGTGCCTGACTTTGAAACCTTAATGATGTTCTTTTAACATACCTTTTGTGTGTGTAATTTCCTAGGGCTTTTTCTGTTTTTTTAAATAAAACCAGGGGTGGGGAGGAAATTCCATCATGTGGCATCATACGGATACCCACATGGGTATTCATCAACAGGGTTGGAATCTTTAGAGCCAACACATAGACCTCTGCCACTTGAGCTAAGGGAGTAACTGATAGCAGCAGTAGGTGTGAGGGATAAGACTCTTTGCCAGTGGGTTTCAGACACATTTCCTGACAACAAAGGAATGGTGAGACTCAAGAATACTCAGTTCTATTCCAGACTTTGGAGGGGTACGTTCTGCAGTAGGCACAAACTTTCCTGGTAATTCCCCACCCCAGCATGTTCCCTTCTGCTCAGTCCCCTCCAGCCAGTCCCAGCCTGGCTCCTTATTCAGTCCCAGATTCCTCGCAAGTGAGTCCCAGTTCCCCCCTCCTGTTTCCTTATCTGATCAGTCTCTCTCCCTCACTGTGGCCTCTAGTTCCCCCTGCCCGCTCCCACTGGGCTCTTCACCCAACCTGTGTCTCACCATCTCCACCCAGGTCATCACCAGCTAGTCCTAGTTCTCCCCCCATACCCCAGCTCCTCAGCACATGTCTCCCCTCCACCCTCCCCTTCTTTCCCACTGGTTCTCAGTCCCAGCTCCTCCCCCAATCTCAGTCTCTCCCACACATACTGACCCCCAAATTTTCACAGGGACTACAAAAGGCACATCCCTGAAACAAAGGCCACTCCTCCTGCCAAATTTCAAGTCCCTGCTCCAAAGCATGAAAGCACTAGAGCTTTTCAAAGAAAAGATCAGTTAAAAAAAAACAACAAACAAACATTGACAGAACATGTTTCTCCCTAGCCTTGTACTCAGAAAAAGCTGACCTGAAAATTCAGGCTGAGGCAGATACCTGGCATGCAAAGTTTCAGCCCAATTGGTTAAAGTTTGGAAGAGTTATAAGCAACTGAGAACAGTCTTACAATGGGAAGTGTCAAGCAATCTTAATAAGCAGTGATTCCAGCCCCACCCCTATAATTAAGGTTTTGTTTAAAAGTATAAAATTTTAAAAGTTCAGTTGTATACTTAAGTACTGCTTTTGCTGTAGAAGAATTCACAAATTCTATATCCTCTTTCCTTTCATTGCATCTAGCTTTACTACTGTTTACATGGATTACTAAAGAAACAAGTTAGAGTGACAAGTGAAGTCCTTCATGGGTAAGAGCTAAACAGAGAGGACCTGTTTCTGACCTCATGTTGGTACAAGTTAGGAGTAACTTGACTGAAGTTATAAGAGGGTAAATAAAAGCAGAATCAGGTCCCAAGTGTTTCTCCTCACTAAACTACCCCATGAACTCTCTTTTGCAGGTTAGGTGGAAGTTTACTTCATATTTTCTTTCCTGTATTTGAAGTGAAACAACAGATATGATTCCACCTCAAAGACACGGTAGTACCTGGCAATATGAAGTTTCCTACCTCTTTGATAACAGACTGAGGTACAGCGTCTGGACCAATTTCTGTATTCAAATAGAGCAAAGCATAGAGATAACCTGCTCTGCCATAAAGAAGCTCATCTGGAAGTTCAGAGTCTGTGCTTATGATCGTTCTCTGGAGCTGCAAAAGCCTGGGTCAAAAAACAAAAAAAAAGAAAAAAAGTGTACCATCTCATTAGGACATACTAGAGTTCTCCTTCTGTATATGGTATGCTACCCAATCCAATCAAGAGGTAATGAGAGCTTGCTAAAATGTCTCACACATTTTGTTTTTGGCTCAGGGAACATAATCAGAACAGACTTTCTTTAACCTCTCCTATGGCAGTTTTTGATTACTTAATAATAATGCTTTGTGCAATCACAGCATTTTTCATCTGCAGATCCCAAACTGAAGGTGGAGAAGTATTATATCCCCATTTCAGATGGGGAAACTGAGGCTCAGAACCATTAAGTGACTTGCCCAAGGTCACAACACACGACAGTGGCAGACTCAGAAACAGAACCCAAAATCTCCAGACTCTCAGCTTTGTGTTCAATCCACTAGCCCTCAGCTGCCCCTAAAATCATCTGCAGTTTACTGAGCTGCTGCACTTTAAAAAGTTTCATATACTATGAAAACGTTGCATTTTGACAACCGTTTCAGCAATGGATCTCGACACTCTTGACAAAGAATAATTCACCTTACAACACCCATGGGAGCTAGGCAATTACTCAATGGCAAACTGAGACACAGAGTGCAACTTGCCAGAGGTCACATGGCAAATGAGTGGCAGAGGTCGGAATACAACCCAGGAGATTTTACTGGCTCTGACTTGGGAATAAAATTTGCAGTTACCAGACAACTAGACCATCTTGGGCCTTTAACACTCTAAAATCCCAACTTCAATGTTACTGATGACGAAAATAATTTACAAAAGGATTGCTTAAAATTTCAAATAGCCACCAACTGATGGGCCAAACTGTGAAATTCTAATAAAAAAAGTCTGAATAAGAATCTCAGGATTTGGCCCATCATTTGTAGGTAAAAAAATATAGCATCAAATGCTTGACAAGGACTTGCTATTTTACAAAAGTGCTTTGTTTGACTTTAGGGATTTTTTAATGGGGCCAGATTGACAGCCCCAGGGAGTGAAACCCTCAATCCACCCACAAAGTAGGTACAGCATGGGAAGCCAGCAGCAGCACAACATGCCTCAATCCTGAAATGGGAGAGGGAGGATCAGTTTCCGTGCCAGCTCAATCCTGTCTTCTCTGTAGAATTGCCCAGAAGGTGCCAGTTAGTTGAAACTGTGCGTGCGTGTGTGTGTTTAATTTGAATATGACCATCTGTCCCCGGATTTAGACCAAAACCTCAATTCACATAGTTATCAAAGGTGGTTGTTGGCTATTAGCTCGTGCTGGATCTGAACCAGTGATTTGAAAGACTCTTGCTTTGGTCTCACTACTAACAATCCATTTTAAAAAAATGGCTTTAATTATTAACACCGTTTGATGCATCAATGATATACCAGATTTAAGACTCATATTAAACTGTTCTCTTTTTAAAAATTGCAAATATGGAATTTGAGCATAAAAAGATCTTCATATCACACCACTGCGTGACCAGCTCCAAGGAAAAAAAAGAAGAGGAAAGGAACACAAAAATCATAGATAGTTGCGCTATTCATACTATACCAATCACTTGGGTATCTGAGTGTATATATACACACACACCCTTAAAAAAAAAGGGAACAGACACCTAACACTAATTACATTTTCATGTTTTCTCCTGAAGATAATTTTCAAGCAAAGGCTAATTAGAAAATCTACTGCTCTTAATCTTATTTCACAGAGACTTTATTTTCATGCTTTGTGAAAACAATGTTACTACAATTGCATCCAGAAGGGTATCTGACAATAAGATTTACTCTAACATAAGAGCTGTCTGTTTTAAAAACAAACAAATGGATATTCACATCAAAGCGGCAGCAGAGATTAATCTCGCTGGGATCCTGGATTAGAAAGAGACTGATTAAACTTCTAAATATAAAACTGTACTGGAAATACAAAAGTGGAGCCAGTCCTCAAGAGTTAATCTGCAAATTCTAGCACAGTAAGGTATACAGGCAGAATGCTAACAGGTGCAGTTGTGGTACCGAATGCAAACTGCACAGCACACCGGTTCTTATCATCCCCAGTGGGACATCAAGGATTGGAAAGCCTTCAAAAAGGCTCTGGATCAAAATTTCCCAGGACATAGGTATAAAAGACAGACATCTGTTTGATGGAAAGCAAGAGCACTTTTCCCAAGCCAGCGTTATTGAAATATGAAACCTCTGGCAATCACTTATTAAAATACTGGTCTTTGATCATATATAAAGGGATCCTGAGTAAATGTACAGCCTTTTCCACTATCACCAGATACTTACTTTGTGATGCACTCCTTAGACTCACTGTCAATCTTTAGTTTGTGGTACACTACTGCCCCTACTGCCAGGGGTCCAGCATCACCACAGAGAAAAGTAACCCTTCGTCCATTCAGATTACGAAGTATTCTCTTCACATAATCCAGGGATCGCTGCAAGTACTTCTGGTCTTTTGTGACGCGGTATAGTTGTAGGTATAAAAGGGCTATGCCTAGAACAACCAGCGACAAACAAAAACAGAACAAGAAGATATATCCTTTTCTTTCCACTTAAATGGCATTTTTCAATTACCTGTTTCTCCTTCCCTCTGAATCAGTGCCCCAGAATGTTAGAAGATACCTGTGCTGTTAACAAGATGTAAAATCAAGGCTCTGACCACTAGTATCTGTTACAGATCCCAGGGAGAGAGCAAAAGGCATCAAGCCCAGTGTCCTGATTATGTTTCAATTTGGATAACTACAGTGGCCTAATTTTATTTATTTATTTTTTAAAAGACTAGAACTCAATTAGAGTCACCCAATTTCCAGAGAGTGAATGATCAGCACTTTTGAAGAATTTAGGCTCAATATGCCTGTGTATATACAAATACAGTACAGGTTTCAGAGTAGCAGCCGTGTTAGTCTGTATCTGCAAAAAGAACAGGAGTAATTGTGGCACCTTAGAGACTAACAAATTTATTTGA